GCTTTGTGCCCGAAGGATCATTTCCTTAAGGCACAGCCACCCTTCTTGGGCTCCCGTCACTTCAAAACTGCTACTCTGCAGTGCGTCCTTGACTAATTGCCTGAGTTCATTGAAATCAGCTTTCCTAAAGTCTAGCACTTTCACCCTACTAGTTACCTTACCCACTCGACGTTTTATGAAGAATTCTATTATTAGGTGATCACTGTCCCCCAGATGGCTACCGATCTGTAGATCCCCTACCATGTCATCCCCCGTTGCCAATACCAGATCCAGTATGGCATTCCCCCTAGTGGGACCGTGTGCCTCCTGTGTCAGGTGGAGGTCCTGTACACAGGTTAGAAACCTGCGTGAATGGTGGGACTTTGCCCTCTGCGTCTCCCAGCAGATGTCTGGGTAGTTTAGGTCCCCCATGACTACCGCCTCTTTAGCTTTTATGGTCTCCGAGAGCTGCCTCAGGAGCCCCGCATCTATTTACTCCAATCCCCTTCCTTTATCCAATCTGTTGCTCTGCTTTCAGCTTCCTGCCCTTTGCCATTGTCCTGCTTGGTCCCTCTCAGCTCTCTCACATGCCACACACGGAGGCTGCCTGTTCTATTTGTGGTATGCATGCTGCAGGTTGGCCACCCCTATGCTTTAGTATGCTGAGGTGCAGAGGCAGAGTGTGGTTACAATAGGAAAACAAACTCCTATTCCTAGCAACACTGAGCAGATACCAGAGCTTGGTGAGAGTTCTTCCTGACCCTTGTATATCTGACTGAGTCTTGCTTGGGAAAGTTGGAGGAGTCAGCCCTAAACTAGAGTCTTGCTGGTCCCTGTGTCTCTGTTGCCATTCCCAGTTTTGAACATGATACCATCACTATGGTCTTCAAATGCTCTGGAGACAATAGATTAAACTCGGCCTGCCTTTGGTTCATGGAGAATCTGTCTTCTCATTTGGGGTAGGGATGTCAGGGAGGCTATTACTGCTTCCCAACCCCCTTCCTCAGGCATCCACAGAAGAGGGCTGGGGCACAGGGCTACTGGTTGGACCCCATATCTGGCACCGACCGGAGATGTCCTTCCTTTGGGGGCTGGGAGGTCCTGATTCTGTCTCAGAACTTGACAC